GACGGCGATGGCGATGACAATGATGAGGAGTAATGTGGCAGCAGCCACCAGGACCCCAGTAACCAAAAGATGGGGGTGGGAATCGTCTCCTGAAGGAGGAAGAAAAACCAGAGGAGGAGGAGAAAAAGGATTATCACCGAAACAAATGGCTCAACATGACAAACTGAGGGTGTAGGCCGAGATGGAAGCCTGGGACTTTCCTTACCATCAGGCAGGGTACGGAAGGTGGAGGATGGGCTGAAGTTGCTGTAGCCAGCCGTGGTGCGAGCGCGGACCTGAACCTCATACTGGGTGCCCTTACGAAGGTCTCCCAGCACCACGTGGTTGGTCTTGCTCTCCTTGTACTGCCAGCTGACACTGTCATCCTGTTTCTCCTGCAGGGCGCATGTGTGGCCCACGGAATCAGAGGAAACTCAGTGCTAATCTCTTAAGAGGGTTGCCATTTTTCATCATCATCTACAAGGTCCACTGGTTCTTCATGACCCCCTTACCTTCTGACAGAAGCGCAGCTGGTATTCCAGGATGCTGTACTGGGGCTCCACAGGGATGGACCATTGCAGGGTCACACTGTTCTCTGTGGCTTGGCTCCTTCTGATTCCCGACACTAACACTGGAACTGTCAGTTTGCAAACATGCACATGATTATCGTGCACATGACCCCAAACTCTCTTCAATGAGCTGTGAGCCCTGCATGTGTCTTTTCAGTACTTCTTTGTCTCCTAACACAGTCTACTCCCCTCCTCTTCTTCTCAACCCAAGCTTACTGCCCCTCCTCACTTCCTCATGGGGTCCCTGTTCCTCAGGAATACCTCACACTTTTTATGTTCCTCCTCTTTGTTAATCTCCATGTTCCCCGTCTTTTCTTCATAAATCCCCTGAACTTCATGATCTCCTCACACACCTCCTCCTCCATCTCCATGTTCCCCCTCCTTTCCTCATAAATCCCTTGTAATTCATGAACTCCTCATACACCTCCTGTTCCTCCTCCTCCTCAAACTCCATGTTCCCCCTCCTTTCCTCATAAATCCCTTGTAATTCATGAACTCCTCATACACCTCCTCCTCCTTAATCTCCATGCTCCGCCTCCCTTCCTCACAAATCCCTCACACACTTCCTATGCTCTTTCTCACGCACTCTACCCCCTGTCCCCCTCACCGTTGTTGCTGGTGGTGATGTTGACGCTCTCGCTGGCCGGTTCCATGCTGCTGAGCTGGGACACGCCGTTGAAGGCCTGGATTGAGAAGCTGTAGGTGGAGTGGGGTTCCAGGCCCCAGACCACCACCTGTCGCTGGGTAAGTCCATGCTGGGTGGGTCGGTAGCTCACGCTGTCGGAACAGGGCACACAGCGCTCCCTGGAGGAGCAACGACGGCACTGCACGACGTACGTCAGATCGTGGCGACCGCCGCGCTCCAGCGGCTCGCTCCACTCCAGTGTGACAGACGTGTCACTGATCAGGGGCACAACACTGCGGGGTGCCGAGGGTGGGGCTGGGGAGGTGGGACAGAGGGCAAGGCTTTAATGCCATTACTTACAACCCAGTTAACAACAGAATTTAACCATTGTAATAAGTATTAGTACTAGTGCTGATGTTTAATGACAACTTGATATGCTCTTTTTTTTACATTCACATCTGTGTCATTTTTGTCTTTGGGGCATTTTTTGAGAAAGCCAGGTCAACTGGGGTTAAGGGCCTCGCTCAAGAGCCCATTAATGACATCACTTTGCCGACCCTGGGATTTGAACCGGCGACCTTCTGATTCTAGAGACAGCATCCCAACCTGCTGAGTTATCCCCCCTCCCATTTTACCGATAACCTGAATACCTGAAAGTAGCAAATTAATGTGATTTCAAAAATTAGAATGAGGAGATGGGGGAGGAGAATAGTAGTGAAAGGAACAATCTTCTCATTAGTCCGTGTGACAGCATGAATGTTTTAGGGCGAGTCACATAACTAGGGGCTGACCTCAAAGAAAGGGGTCCCTGCTGTCCCCCCCCCCCCCATTTCAAACACCAGGCCAAATGTTCCAAGCCTCTAAGGATAAAGGTCTCATTGAAATTAAGGCTCAGCTCCCTATTTCCACACCCTCTGGTCATTTAATTACTGAGCTTTACAAGTGACCGAATTATAGATGAATTGAAGTCAGCATGTTTTTTGTGAAAGGCGCTATATAAGGGGCGTGTCTGGCCGCGGCGAGGCACAGCTGGCACCAGGCACAGCTTTCAGGCTTCGCCCATTACGGAGAGTCGTAAAAAACGAATCTCTTTTCATTCTCTCGGATACAAATTGCTGGGGACAAAGGGCCCAGCTTCGTGCATTGTCCTTGTATTAGACTGATAGCTTCCGACACAGAGAGCAAGGAAAGGCAATGGCAGGGGGGACCTGTTAAGGGGGGGGGTGGCGTCGAGGGCACGACAATGGAGAGCAGAAAAAGACAAGAGATCGAAAAGAAGAACGATTGAGAGGGGTGATGAGCAAGAAAGAGGAGTGAGAGGAGGTGCATACTGGTGCACGGCGCGTCAGGGAGGTCTGATTCGGCCCGGAAGTAAGTGGGGCGACAGGGACACACAGCTGAGCCGCCGCTGATGGAGTTGCTGAAATCTGGACACCGTCTGCACTGGTCAGCTCCCAGGGACATCTTAAAATAATCAGGCAGGCAGGCTGAGAGAGAGAGAGAGAGAGAGAGAGACACACATTTACATTTTATTTACTTAGCAGTCGTTTTTATCACAGCTGTGTATATTTTTGAGAAAAAGCAACAGAGGTTACAGGCCTTGATCAGGGCCCAACAGTTACAACAATCTGCAGAGTCTAGGATTCAAACCTGTGACCTTCGGATCGTAGGAAAAGCCCTGAAACCAGCTCAGCCACACACCGACGCAGCTGCGTATCCACCAGCAAAACAGCAGCTGATTGGTTTCTAAAGAACTAAATCCAGCTTCTTCTTTAACAAATACGACCCAAAAACTCACACAACAGATAAAAAAAATGTAGACCTGCACACACAGGTAACCACACACCCACGATTTCCAGAAGTGAAAGCGAGGCGTCTAGCACCGTGCAGTGGGTCTGGGCAGGACACTGGCGCACTGGCGCAGGGCATGCAGCCACACTCCTCTCAACTGTGCGTCTGTGGCAGCGGATGCGACAGGAGACATCAGGACAAGCGCCATATCGCACGATTTATCATTTGGCAATGGGGGGGAACAAGGAATAACGGGCGAAAACAAAGGTGCGAACTCCGAGCGGCAGGAAACTCAATGTCTGGGGAAAAAAAAGCACAGAAGGTCTAATGGCCGAATAGTATGACATCATTACAAGCAGCCCTTCCAGTCACATTGAGTATAAATAGTCATCTGCCTTTAAAGGGAAAAAAAAGAACTATCTCCGATTTTGTCTGGTCAGGGTGCGTTCCACAATGAGAGTCAGGCATTTCCACTTTAAACTCACAGCTGGAATTCAGGGGACGTGACCCCGAATCTAACCGAGGCCTGACGTCACGGCGGTCACAGTATAACGGCCTTGACTGCGCCGGCCTACGCTCACTGACCCAACCCTGCGGGACAGTAACAGAGAGCCCAGTGTGTTCATGGGCGCAAATCATGCCCCGTGTCGAGCAGAAGAGCAGCCATTATGAGGCAGGAGAGATACAGGCAGTAACAGATCTCCTTCAGCATAATGCACATTCACAACCTAATTCACACTCTAATAAAAATCAGAAACAGACCTTCGAAATATCTCTCCCTACAAAAATGGTGTATGGGACTCTACCAGCAGGTCTAATCTATCACAACAGAGCAAATTCAACGCATGGTTTGGCCAATTAGGTATCTCTGAACCGTACACTGTCTGTGGTTTTGTGTGTGACTGCGTGGTCTGCTAAGGATGGGGGTCCCCTCTTGGGTCCCCCATGACAGACTTCAGGCTCATAGTCACCCTGTACCGGAAAAGCAATTATGGAAGATGGATGAATAAAAAATACAATGTATGCGGGATTATTTCAGCCCTGTACAATATTTTTACTCGTTTGTGGGTTCAGATTAGTCTGTTGTTTAACAGATCCATGTATACTGCTGAGAGCTGAGAGATGCTTAACGCTCTGCATGAGCCCGGTCCTGTTTTACATTAATGTCTCACCCAGTGGTGACAGTCAGAGAGTAAACAGGCATGCTGGGTAAAAAACAGAGCCAGGCACCAAAATCGCTCTGGCATCGGCTATACACGTGTAAACACAGCCCACGATGATAAAACGATGATAAAAGATTGCTGTGGCGACTGCCCCCCCCCCCCAAAAAAAAAAAAGAAATTTGCAGTGTTTTATCATCGTGGGCTGTGTTTACACGTGTACACACGCCGTGTCACATTATGACTACACCTCTGACCCTAACTCCTTCCAGCCTTTGGAGGTGTCCCAAAAAGCCACTTTCTGTGTGGATGCGGAAACATAACAGCCGTAGGACAGGCCAGCTCAGTCCCAGAAAGGCCAAAAGGACAGTGACTGCTTATCTAGGCGTTCCTCTCCAAAGGTCACTCCCACGGCCCGCATTGTCATCCCAGTATAAAACATGGCTGGTGACATCACGGTCTCTAAAATGGGACTGCAGCGCCCCTCCCTCTGTGTAAAACCAGACAACACAGTCACTGCTCTCAAAACCAAAACTAGTCATCACTATATGTAAAACCTTCTCTCTCTGCAAAACAGTCATTTCTCTGTATAAAACAGATTACAAACTAATCTTTCAGTGTAAATACGGCTCCAGGTCATCTATCTCAGTATAAAACACACTCTCAGTGTAAAACAGAACCACAGAGTCACTCTCTCAGTGTAAAACAGGACCACAGAGTCACTCTCTTAATGTAAAATGAGGACCACAGAGTCACTCTTCCCATGTAAAACAGGATCCCAGAGTCACTCTCAGTGTAAAACAGGACCACAGAGTCACTCTCTCAATGTAAAACAGGACCACAGAGTCACTCTCTCAGTGTAAAACAGGACCACAGAGTCACTCTCTCAATGTAAAACAGGACCACAGAGTCACTCTCTCAGTGTTAAACAGGACCACAGAGTCACTCTCCCAATGTAAAACAGGACCACAGAGTCATTCTCTGTGTTAAACAGGACCACAGAGTCACTCTCTCAGTGTTAAACAGGACCACAGAGTCACTCTCCCAATGTAAAACAGGACCACAGAGTCACTCTCTGTGTTAAACAGGACCACAGAGTCACTCTCTCAGTGTAAACCATATCTACTGATACGCGTCTCTCAGAGTAAAAGGGGACTGCGTAGTCATTATTCTCCTGGTATAAAACAGGGCCAAAGAGCCATGTCTCTCTGTTCAAAACAGGATTACAGAGTCGTCTCTCTGTGCAAAACAGAACATTCAGTGTCCCCCACTCCGGGTCAGCTGGGAGGGGGCGTTAAGCCGGCCAGCCAAATCCCCCGCACACAGCTCGCAGGCAGCTGCGTTTGACAGCGTGACCCCTGTCACTCCTCCAGGCCCCCCCCCCCCCCCCCCCGCCTCACCACTGGGTTCTACACTCTCGCTCTCACCCTCTTAACCCGAGGTGTGGCTCAAACGGGGCCGTAACCTCTCATTCTCAGCTTCGGGAATCTCCAGATGGTACCTGGCATGTGGACCGTCCTGGGAGCAAAGGTGGGGGGGGGGGGGGCCTGAGGGGTCGGCGATATCATGAGATTTAGCTGCCGTGTGTGGCGGCCGAATGCAGTCGTGGCAGAGGGGAAGGTGTCATCGAAATGAATAAAATGTTGGAGAAGAGAGAGAATGAGAAAGCAGGGAGACTCCTGGGGGAAGGCTGTCCCAGGCTGACCCCCCCAAAGCGCGGGCATCGAGAGATTCGCGCACTGCGGCCGAAACGGGGATGTGGTATAAATCAGATCCAGCCGCGGAGAAGCTGGCTTTGATGTGGGGCTTTGAGCGGGGGGTCAGCGTGTGAAGTCGATGCTGGGCTGGGCGGGGGGTTTGTTTACCATGTTTCACAGTGAGGGATGGGCTCTCTACAGACGGGGTCAAGGCTGGGGCTGCTGAAAGAGCGAAGACAGAGAGGCCCCTCGTCCCAAACGGCCCGACATGCTCTTGTCTTTCAGCAGCAGGGATGAGTCTCAGCATTCTTTGTAAACAGCCCCCACCTCTAGACATTTCTCTGGGTGTCTGTTTGTGTATTTTTCCCTTTATGCTGTGAGAAAAGGGCCCGGTTCCAGCTCCAGCCTGCGCTTGTGTTGACGGAGCCGTGTCTCTGCCTGTGTTTTGACTCCACCATTCCAGCCCATTTCATTCTTGACCACACAAACACCCACCCCACCCCTGACAGTCCCACGTCCTCACCTTGGCAACGGGACTCGGCGTCCAGGGGCTCGAACCCGGCCCGGCAGGCGCAGGCCCCACTGGGCTGCCCCACCCACTGCCCGTCCTCGCCGCAGAACATGTGCAGCGTCGCCCCCTGCTGGATGGCGTTGTCCACGCATTGGCCCTGCGCCTGCTGCACTAGGGAGTGCGGCACGGTGTCGGGGAAGTGGACGAAGGTGCGTGTGAGGGCCGAGCACTTCTTGAAGAAGACGCGCACTGACTGCAAGCCCATGCAGGCACCCTGAGCCTGGAAGGCGAGGTAAAAACCCCGCTTCGTCAGCGGGCCCAAGCGCAGCGTCTTCAGGTTCGACTTGCGCTCCCCCCCATCCTTCCGGAGCAAGGAGTCTGCTGCCACTGTGTCCACCTGTTGACACGCACACACACATAAACACTCCAGACATGTACGCAAATGGGTCAGGGCAGCCATGATGGACCTTCTAGCTGACAGACGGCATCATCACGACGGGGGCATACAGGCCCCTTCATGCTTGGAAAAACCTGCTTCAATATATGTGAACTGCTACTCATTTTATACCC